CTCATTTATTTATTTACTGTATTCATATATTTACTATGTTGCATTATCTTAATGAATTACACCACAAACATACTCAAGTTGTAGGTTAAATTTACGTTTATGTACCTTATTATAGTTGGTAAACCAAAGAATGTAACCATAACAACAATGAACCTGAACAGTACAGCAACATGGCAACCTCCTGTTGATGTTAACGTCAACATGCTACCGCTTGTAACGTATTCGGTGAAAGCAGGAGAATTTAATGGAAGGTAATTTATCGAAAAAAATGTTCATGAAACGCAATAGGTTTGGCACTTTGATCTTTGAAACATTCCCAAAATTACTAATACGTTTAATTTAAAAAAAAAAATCAAAGTACCGGTAACAATAGAATATTTATACTGCACATGAATTATTGTTTTGAAAAATACAAACTGCAGTGTAAATTCTTTACTAAAGTATAAAATTAAAATCCTTCTATCAACCCAAAGTACGAGGTTATTCTGGCCTCGACCGCATTAAATTCACAATAAGATATCAGATATGTTAAGTTGTAAAATTGTTACCCAAACCCAGATTCGTCAGATTATAGCACTCGACGAGAACAGCGATGTAAATGTGGAGACAGTTGGGGAGAGGAACACACCCCTTCTGTTAGGGAGAGCTTCTTCCCCCATCCCTCTTGGGGGTGAAAAATCACAAATCGTCGGTAGGAAACAAAATACTATGCGCCACCACTGATCGAACTATCGTGTTTTTTATACTACTTATCATTGTTAATACCGTCCTGTTTCAGAATGAAACCTGTACCAGGATGTCAGGATATAAGTGAACTTGAATGTCACATCGGCGTTTTTGGAAAAAATGAATGGTACTATGACGAAATTGACAAAGGTGTTGTTGAAGTCACGGCGAGTATTCTGGGTTATACGAGTGAACCAAGTTCTGCAAAGCAGAACCTCCTAGTTGAAGGTTTGCAACACATATATTCGTGAAAAAATAAAAGTATCATTATATTTTCATATTTTAAATATCCACTCTGCTAAAATATCAGAAAATGTAAAAGGATCATATATTTATATTGTTTATAATTAACCTTAAATCAATAGCAGATAAAATAAAGTTTTCAGAAGTGTTTAAAATGTTAGTAAGTTAATAACTTATATGAATATATACAAACTATATCACCTTCTTCTGGATAAGTTACAAAGCGTGTACAATAATTGTGTGGGCAAATCATTAATTTATAGCGTATGATAAATCCGGCGAAGTTTCAATTTCGATTCATTAAAAAACGTTATACTGAGAAACAAAACAAATATAACAAAAACCACAGAGGAGAGTGATGTTTTGCCCTACCTGACGTGTTATCGTACCGAATAATCAGTACGTCCCCAAATAGGCCTACTTATGAAAAAAAAATCGCAAGTGATTCGGGTGGAAATTGAACCCAAGACCTCCAGATATCTAGCCTGTCGCCACAACCACTAGACCACCGAGCTTGCGATTAGTGACTAGTGTTGAATCCGATCCCCAAGTAGCAGCGGATACTGCAAATACTATTTCGATGCGAGTTTAAGTCAGGAAAATATCACAGGAGTGATGTTTTGCCCTACCAATTGTGCTGAATATTCAGTACGTCTCCAAATACTTGTGATAAGAGTATTCGGTAAAATAACACTTCAGGTACCTGAAGTACCTTCACTATCATGATATTTTTCTGACGCAAACTCACAGAATTATGAAGGCTTATACATATTTGTTAAATGCACGTTTTCATATGTCATTTTATGCTGTCAGGCCCAATTGATGAGCAGCCTAAAGCTGCATTCACATCGGATCCGTTGAAATTCAGACCGCGTTTCCGATACGCTGAATGCCAGCGAAAAATTTGGCTTACACGCTGATTTGATTTTCTGACCGGTTCGGCAAACCTTCCGATCCGAAAATTTTGATTCGGTGTAAATGTAACTTTTTATTGTTAAAAGCAAGTGC